CATAAAAATTGGACACTTTGCTTGAACTATAAAAAATATAAAGTAAACAAAGTGCATCAGTAACAATAGTAACATTAGTAAGCAGACACCAAAATAAAGACAAATAACAAAAAAAAACTGCCCCATCCTACGGTCATTTACACGAAAGCTGAGTAGGACAATAAATCTGTCATCAACAAACGCGTAGGCAATTAATCCACTAATTGAAGAGAACAGCCCCAATAAAATAAACTTTAAACTAAACGATACTAAAATAAACAGACACTTAGAATCCAAACTCAGCGAAGATGACTAACCTGCTTGGGCAACACAATAACTAAAAATTGTTAATCTAAACAGCGGTAATAAACATTAAAAATAACAACAAAACCTATCGATAACTATCGGTAGTTACATGGCAGACTAGTAATACTATTTTTCTGGTCTAGGGCGATTCCGCGTCGTACTCGTAGATTTGAGTCGGCGTAATTGTCCCCCAATCACCAAAATGTCTATCCCTCCCGTCCTACCTCCTACTGGGCGTATAGCATCGGCCCGGCGAACTCGGGTCGCAATGGACATTCGCACCCAGCAAACACGGGTGAAGCCGTGCTGTTGCTGGTGGCGAAAGAAAATCGGCGTAAGGAAACATATTTTTTTGCGCCGTACACGTGCTCCATTTTAAATTCAGTCCATATGCCGGTTTGTATTCGAAAGTGTATGTCCTAAAGAAGATTTTAAGGCGTTAGTCATATTTTTAGGTGGCTTCAATTTTAGGTCAGGTGAAGGGTAAAAGTGACGTGGATCGTCCCATATGTATTTCTAACGATATACGCATACGTACCACATTTAACCAAAGGGTTTCCATTTATTTTAGTGTCTTATAGTTGGCCTCCACGATCTCCAGATTAGAGCCATGCATGGGCCGTCTCTTTCACGCTTGGCCTGGCCCGGCCTGGGTCAAAAATCAGTCACTATATACATCTATCTGAACTTCGCCTAGATATGTAAATTTTGTAATCTTAGAAATTTAAAAAATAAATAAAGACATTTATTATTATATTATTATCATATAGCCCGACCCAATTGTGAATACTCTGCCTCAATCTATTTTATCTAGACCGGGCAATAAATAACACTTTTTATTTGTATAGACACTTTAAGATATTTTAAATCTATATATCTATGTTAAAAAAAATTTGCGGTTCGGCCCGGCCCGTGCAGGGCTCTACATCAGATGTAGTGTATTTGCATTTGTTGTTCTATTTTAATTACCTAAGTAAACATTAAGTAATTAAGTAAGCAAGTTTAGGGAAATATCTAATTTAAATTTGGCACCTACATACAAACCTTGAAGTATTTCACTTGATGATAGAAATATTTTTCTAATTCAAATTCATGCAAATAAATATTAAATAAATTGCATTTTAATGCACGCATATGTATACAAACTGACCTAACACAACGACTATTTTATTGAGTACAAGTAAGTTAAATTTCAATAAAATTTATAAATGTATAAATTTACACAATAAATTAAACCCATTTGCATTTATTTTAATTTTTTGTTATTTCAAATAATCATTTGTTTACAGTACAATGTATTAAATATTTTGCTAATAAAAAACCCTGGTAGAAATTGTAGGTTGAAAAATCATTTTTCTTTCGTTAGCAATCATCGCAAAAGCCCTTTTAACAACTTTGTACTAATTTTCTGTTATCAAGCGCTAGAAATGTGTAGCTAAGTACATGGTATCTATAAAAACAATATTTTGAATCGATTAAAATAAATTTTGGACCGATTCGAGTACGCCTTTGCATTATTTTTTATTTTAAAAAGAATTTAAACCTGGTATATGGTCCCTGCGGACTTCATATAATTTAAGGGGGAGGGAGTGAAAAACCTTGAAACCTTTGATGTGTATTTAAGTCAGTAAGGTTTTTGCCAAACATTTCCATTAATTTATACAACCCTGTTTGGTAGCTAGAGAACAAAAATGAAATGTAAAATCTAATTTTAAGCATAAACAAATAATAACTTTTTCCCAGATCGGGCTTGGTTAGTGAGATACTTTAATTTATTTAAAAAAACAGTTCAGCGGCCTGCCAGGTCTCCTGACCCAAATAAGCTACCACTTTAAGCAATTAGTTTATGCTGCGCAAATTAATACCATTAAACAATTGAAAGATAAAAATAACTATCACCGATCGGAGGGTTAAATGTCCCGGCTTCTAACATTAGCAACCTAAGGTATTATTTATAACTTGTATTATGCAAGTTTTTTGTTATACAGGGTGAGTTTTAAGCAGTGGCGTAGCTAGCCTCAAGGGGGCCCCGTATCAAAAATCTAGTAGTGGCCCTTATACGGGAAAAGCTGCTGGCAAAAAAATTTCTGGGTGTCACGCCTTAAGTCTATGTTGGGTAAACAAAAAAATTTTTAGGGTATCATTATTTTCCATTTTCTTATAGTTTAATAAATAATATATGTATACATAACTTTTGTACGACTTTTTATGTACAGGTAAATTTTAAAATTTAGTATGGTTTTAGACATTTACCGTTCTTCAACATCTTTTAAAAGGTTTCTATTTTAAAATAAAGGCAACTCATTTGAAATAATTTTAAGGCTAATAATTATTTCTAATTTGCTATTAATATAACCTATGATAATAACACGCAAAGCAGACTCAGTATGCGGCGCAGAGCACAGAACAATATGCGCAGTCTGCGTCGCAGACAATGCATAGCGGAAAGGTTCGGGTAGAAATTTAATTTAATAAATCGAAGTATAAACAATTAAATAATAATATTATTTATTTATTTAGTTTTTTAATATGTGGGTAATATGTTTTTTGCTTACGAGTCAATCCATATGAAAACACCAAAAATGAATTTAAAAGTGGGCTGCATGATTTTTTATTGAAAAAATGATCTTTTAGGTATCATATATGAAAAACCGTTGCCGTTTTAATTTTTAGTTGCTTTGTTTTTAATCGGCACCCTTTAGAAACCTGAAATCGTGTCATTTTCTTACTCTCTTATAAGAGGCTAAAACTTTTTTTCTGTGGCAATTATTAAAATGATTGTAATTTTATTTTACTGCCTAGTAAGTATGTTTTCAATATTAATTATTATTATCTAATTAGTTCATCTCATAAAAGAATGGTAAGCCACTAAAGCCAATTTTTGTAATTTTTGTCTGGCTCCTGTACTCTGGTAAATCTAGAAAGTTGCTTTTTTCAGGTATCAAGTTATTTTCTTTATTAAAAAAATTATTGAAACTTGATAATTTTCAAAATTAGCCAATTTTGCCCTTAGAAATCATTATGTTGAGGAAAAAATAAAAATCTGAAACTTTCAGGAAATGTAGTCCCCACCTTCATCTTTTCAGTCTAGTTAGTCTTGTTTTGTTATTTTTATCCAAAAGATATAATAATTTTTTTAATGCAGTTAAGAAGCGATATTGTTAGTTTTATTTATAATTTAAAATTTAGATGGCTTTGACTTATTTAATTCGTGTTTGGTAGAGAAATGTCAGAACTGTCAAAAATATTTCATAAATATTATTTGTGCGTATTTAAATTGCAAGTTTGCAAGTGTAATAAATGAGGGAGTGTTCGAGATTTATGAATTTAATTGCAATTAAAAATGCAAGAACATATCATAATTTTGTAACTCTTTCTCATAGAAAATATTCAAGTTCTGAGAAGTTTTAAATTGTTAAAAATAAGCAAAAACCAAAAAATATTCTAAATAAAGCCCTTTATTATAACATGTTTTATTTTAACCAGTTACCTGGGTACCTACCTAAAAACTAACATTTAAAATACATACATATAACTTTAACTATTCAGTGCCTTACTAAAGGGATCAAAATAATAGAACAAGACTAACTTGGTTTAAATTATGAAAGAAACCGACAAAAAACTGCTTAACGCATTTTTTATACGTTTAAATGAACTCTTTATTAATTTTACTCATTATACTTTACGATATAAACCATAAGGATCTTAATAGTATATTACACTACAAGGGCAGAAAGTGTGAGATTCCTGCGCAGTTCTATATATAATATATCTAATTAGATATATTATACCTCTATTGCTCAATGGGGCGATAGGGGCCCAATGGGGCGGAGTCGGTTGGGTTGGGTTGTTAAGTTTGGGTTAGTTTGGAATGACAGCTAATCGTCATAACCTTGAGGAATACTTTGCTACATTTAGCCTCTAGTGGATTGTGAACCTGCATAAACTCAAATTATCTGATTTTAAAAATTGCATTTTCCGCAATTTATGATGTTGTTTTTCATAATTCAATCTTTTTCACTTCACTTTCAAATTCTACGTATATAATATATAATATATAATATACGTGTTTTGGCTCGCTACATGCTCTTTTTCACAGAAAATCACTTTAAGTCACTTCAATTATCAGCCCCTTTTTTATTAATTACGTGATAATTATACAACTTTTTCACCTTGCGCCGATTGTTTATAAACAATAGGTGTGGAGGGATGTAAAAGTGCATATATGCACTTTTACATCCCTCCACACCTATTTGTTGCATTTTGGCAACCCCCATGTCGTTTTTCGGAAAAGTCGCTAAAGTGTAAATTTAATGTATTTTTTTATCAATAATGAAAAGCTTACCATTCCATTTTTTTAAATCACAAAACCAACAAAAATAGAATCGCACGTGCTTACAACATAGACAACGCATTTCTATGCATTCGCTATAGCTAATGCAATACTGATTTTTTGAGTTTATCCTTACTCATATATGCATATTATATAAATTTGTGTTAATTATAGTTTTCTTTAAATTAAAACCAGTCGTGGAAAAAATATATATACAAATTTCTAACGTTAGATGATGTTGATGTTTTTATCCAATTTAGGTTTCTTATATTTATAACGAAAATTTCACAGAAACAAGAATTCAAAGAATAGAAAAACACTTTCAAAAGATAATAATTAATTTATTTTGTTATCAATGCTATAATTCAGGATTATTTTTTAGCTGCGTCTTATCGAGGTCCAGGAGAAGATGAAGCACCGGACACGTACGCGGCAAGAATCGCCTTTACCGGAAACTCCAGGATCCTGGGTCCTGCTTGCATCGTTGTTGGCTTTCTTATGTTGGTCGCAGCATCGGTGCTATGCGTTCTTATAAAAAGAGCGCGTCGACGAGAACAGACCATCGGTTTCCATTGTCCTGTGCATGGAGACTTTTATCCGCTCAGTCCTGTTAATAGCTCAAGGGCATTGTGTAAGTAACTGCTTAAATCCATATCTACCACATTTTATTTAGATATAAAGTTATAATATATTATTATATATCACCATTTACAAATGTTTTTGCTATTTTATTAATAAAAATGTTTTCGGTCGCAAAAAGGGATTCTATCAAATATTATTTAAATTACTTACACAGATTATAAAATGATATTATATTAGTCTATATTATACTACATTTTATAATCTGTGATACTAACTTTAGATAATATGAGCTTTCTGCGACTGGTCTATTATATACTAATAATGAGTATATAATAGACCAGTCGCAGAAAGCTCATATTATAGCTAAGCGTACCTTTTGTATACGAAGCAATTAATAGGCTTTTAACGCCGTGTTTTTCATACTATTGTTTTAATTTATTTAATAAAAATATTTCTTTAAGATTTTGTCACATCATTTTTAGGTTAGGTTCAACCAGTGATGGGCGGTGGGTAAATACGCAATGGGTAGGTAAATAAAATTTGGGTATATACCTGGTATATACACACAGGATTGGTATGTGGGACCCACGTTGTGGGTATATACCTATTGGGGAAAATCGGATGAATACCTGATATTTACCCGGTATATATCAGGTATTTACCGTCCGGTTATTGTCGACAACTTGTTGAGGAATTGTATTATAAAATTAGGATATTTCCCTAAATCGCGGTGTCGTATTTCCGCTTCGAGATAAAATATTATTCTCGAAATATTCCATTGGACACGAGTTGTGAGGTTAAGTTGTGGTTGGGAACTGTAACAGTTCGTGTTTGTGTCGCTACTACTTTGTAGGTAAAAGTAAAGAGGTAAATTCTACTAATTACACCAGGTATACAACACTAAAAAATAAAGATACCTCAAATAGCGATTCGTATTAGGTTCACTGTGAACCTAAGTGTAAACGAAGAATCTGGTAACCAGACTCTGGTTAGTAAAATTAATACTATTATTAGTAAGGTTAGTAAAATTAATTCTACTATTACCTACTTTGTTGTAAATAAATATTATCGGGATATTTAAATTAATCCTAAATATACAAAATGTTATACAAATGTGTTAATTCTTCCCACTCGTTTTTTTATGTTTGTGGTAAATTTACTCCTAAAAGAGACAAAAAGAAAATTGTTGTGCTTTAGCGCGCTGCTTGAAAAGTGTTATTAGTTAATTAAAATAGTTAATATACAGAGTGGTCAACGTAAGGTTACCCATTTACGTATATTAGAAAGTTTTAATAGAAACTAGTGGAACTATATTAATATTTGGTGTTTTTATTTATTATGTATGTAGGTATTATATACCTAACTATGGTATTCCTTTTTTGTTGTGTCGTTACCAAACTTCTTCGCCCAGACAAATTTTCTTTGAAAAAGAATGGTACAATTACTTATGTTATTGCGTGCCTTAATACCTGCCCAGACATTCATATGAACTTTTCAGGATATTGAGTATGAGACTCTCTAAATAAATGTGGGTTTGAATCACTTCAGTATCGACAATTATGCCGATTGACCAATCCATGTCAAAAAAGGAGCATTGATCTGATTGCCAATACACCGTTCACTCATTTCTTCTACAAATTGTAATCGTCGATCATAATCATCCTTATCAAGTTCGTGAAGCAAATGTATCTCGTATGGGTAAAGTTTGTAAACCTCAAAATTCTCCTTACGCTTGATCGTGATATGCCGGAAACTTTGGACATTGTAATGTGCCCTAGGACTGCGATTTGCATGCCTTCATTCCTAAAGACACGAATAGGATTATCTTTTTTGTTCTCCACTGTTCCAGTTTCCAAAAACTTTTCCATCAGTTTCCTAACGTAAGTATGCGAGACATTTTTTTCCTGATGTCTTTCATTAAATAGTCGTCATATCAAAGGGTATGATAGCAGCGACTTCAAACTTAGAAGGTATAATCACAGCAAAAATACCTTCATAATGAAATATCACTCGACCCCCCTTCCCTTTTCGAATTTTGGGGTTAACTATCACCCACGCTTAGAAGTTGAAGTTAAGGGGTTGAAAATATAAAAATAAATTGTCCCCTCAAATCAGAAATCGACGGATGCGAGCGTTTTTGTTTTTTTTTTCGGAACACCTAAGAAAACCGGGGTGGAAACTTTCCATTGATCCACCCTGTATTATAACATATCGCAAAAAAATGTGTTATGATTGGGATATGTGAAGTTTTTATCAACCATTAAAAATTTAATGAAGCAAAAAAAAATATGTTTTTTTAACGTTGATTATTTCCCTCATTATAATATGAACCAATCAAAAGCCTTGAATTTTCGAATAAATTTCGTTTAAATAAGCGATTAAATCACTAGAACTATTTAACAGCGATTAAATTTTAGCCTCCATATTGGATTTTTGTTTACGATTTTATGGTGTTATTAACAAACATTTTTTAAAAAACAATAAAAAATAAGTTATCTAGTCTACGAAATATCAATTATTATATACATATTACATACCTTAAATTAATGGAATTTTCTTTAAAAAAATATTTATAAATTTTGACACATACGTCAGATTTTATGAATTGTCAAATAGTTTCCTTTAATTTGAGAAATAATCTAGACGAATATCACTCAACCTATATATATCACTCAACTATATCACTCAACCTATAAATTAGATCTGTCAAACTATGCTCAGTAAGTTTTTTATTTGATTTTTCTTTTTGGAAAATAGTTTCATGCAAAATAAGTAAAAATAAAACCCCTCGACCGCTACGCGCTCTCGTGATTTTATTAAATTATTTTGCATTCAACATTTTCCAAGAAAAACCAAACAAAAAACTACTGAGCCTAGTTTAACCGATTAAATTCATAGTTATATATAGTTCTCTTTGAAAATAGATTAAGGTATTATTTTTAAGGGGTTCAAGGGGTTTTACACCTTTTTTGTCATAGTAATATTTTTGGTTTATTTTATATTTATTTAAAAAGTCGTCATATTTATTTTTATTATATATTTTGCTTTTATAAAAAGAATGGTGATTGGGAAGAAGGTCTCTTAAATGTCGGCTCATTAATATTTTTGCTGGAGAGTATTCTCCATTTAGGGGGGTGTTTCTATAATTTAGCATAGCTAAATATATATCAGAATTGTCATGATAACATTTTTTTTAAATATTTTTAATAGTTTGTACCGACCGTTCAGTTTGACCATAAAAAGTCATCTCCAAGATATCCTCAATCTAATGGTCAAATTGAACGGTCGGTACTGTAAGCGTACACACCCCCCCCAGCAAAGAATCTGTAAAAGTTACACCCCAAGTGATAAATGAAATATAACACCACGGCAAATGTTATATTAAATTACGACAAATAAATAAAATAAATACTTACGGTAATAAAGCTCATTAATTTAGTAACCCAAGGTACTTGTAAGGTGTTGTATTCATAGGGAAAGTATTTAAAAAGGGAAATAATAAATACAGTAAATAAAAGGCAATAAGTTACGTTTGAACTCAGGTCAAAAACCCGGAAGGCTCCCGTTTATTTTTTATTTAAGTATCGCTCATAAAACCTTCCAAAATGAGGGATTATGGGAGTGAGTTTCACGTATAAAATATTTACAATTTATAACAAACAATAATGATATTTATTTGGATAGAGCAACAAAAACAACCGCAACCCAAACGACATTTAACTTAGTGAACTCTGAAAGAAAAGGACCTCCTACAACCGTTAAAACCACACAATATCTCCTTACTGCGACTACAACCCAAATATAAATAAATATATAAATAACATTAGATAAATAATACCTCATACTAGAGCTTAGCTCTCGTTTTTCATTTTTTTAATTTTATCTTCGCTTTTTGCTGATTTGTTTGTTTATTTTCATTTTTAATTTTTATCTTCGCTTTTTGCTGATTTGTTTGTTTATTTGTTTGTTTGTTTGTTTATTTGTTTGTTTGTTTGGTGAAAGTAGATTGAGTCTTAGTCTCTAATTTTGTATTTTAAATTTAACTTTATTCATCAAGCATTCCGTTTGCAATAGGCCTCCATCATCCAAATAAAGTTTTTGTATTATTATTTACTGTTGAATTTAAGTTTACTGTTACACGAAATTTTCATGTAATATTTATTAGAGTTCAGGCTCAACCAACTGTTGGAAAAGGAGTAAATAATTATCAGGCTCGACTCGGGCTTCAGCTGAGGGTTCGGAATTGTCTATTTTGCCTCATTAGTAAGCAAACCTTAATAAATTAATAATTACCATAAAATACTAGGTAATCAAAATGACACAAATAACAATGACAAAGTCTACGTCACCATTCAGATGAAATCAAACCGCTCGGCACCTAATAAAATTTACAGGATAGTAATTCAAAATGGGCTTGTTGTGTCATGGACTCCACGGACAGTGGGGGTAAATCAAATGTCGCTATCGTACAATTACTGTTGCCACTCACTCCAAACATAATACCAAATATTTAAATATGACTGGTAAAATTACTAGTTACGGAACATAAATGTGAATCCGCGAGTACAATTTTATAAATCCCGTATTCAAGAAAATCGATATAAAGTACAATTAATTTACACAGCGTTTATGGAAAATCCCCTTTTTGAAATATTTATTTAAATTAATTAAATAAACCCGAGTACCGTCCTGACATTTAGCTTAATTAAATCGAATACGGTCCTGCCTATTTTAATTTGATGAAATCCCCGTAAATTCAGGCTCTTTTAATTTAATAATTACTCGTTAAAAATCCCTGCCTTTTATTAGATAAAATACACGTACCAATTGTTTATAACTTAGAATATAAATTATAATACGAAATACCAAATTTAAACTTAATTTAATTCATGTCAATTTCTACGGGCGTGGTTTCTAAACGACAGCCATTACAGCGTAATAGATCGAACGATGACGCCAAGTCAATTGATCGAATATTTATCTTTACACAAGGTATTTGTGTAAACCAATTATACCAAAATGCTCGGGAATATTTATACTACAATAATT